TATCCTCAGAAAGTACTGGGTTAAAAAGTAACTTCGTGCATTTTTAAGTGATAATTTATATTACAACATTATTTTCCTAATGCTCAAAATATATTACAGGGCAATGTTCTAATACGTATGTATATTGATATATTTCGTCATGGAATGGAACATAAAATTATATTTTAATAACGAAATTTAGCCTAAAACAAACACATTTTATTTTTCGTATTGTCAAACAATTTAAAAAGCTAACTTACTACCGTATTGTTAAAATGTTAATTGCTGGCCACTGCCCCTATGCATTTTAAACATATTGGGTCACCTGTGAACTCTGTGATATTTTGATATATTTTATATACTGGGCTGTGAAAATAAACTTAGCAGAAATTGAATATATGTATACGTACTGATTACTGTATGTTGTGCTCTTCTTGTTTTAATCTACAATTGCGCTGAATGTCAGTGCAATACATTTGAAATACTTGCGCAATCCGGGCAGAGAATGCACACACCCAAAATCCAATAATACATTCCGTCTTTACTCTTTTTTGCATAAGCCACTCAGTACATACCTGACCTGGCTGTAGTGTCCAGGTTGGTTACGGCACATTTTTCTCTGTTGGGTTTATCGTGCAAATCATGTATCTTAACACTCCTCTAAAATAAGGTATTTTCAATTTATGTGCAAACAGTTCGAAATCCATGTTAGTGAGTGCTCGTTTCAGTAGAGATTTTATTATCGCCTAATCCAGCCGCATTGCTTTTGCACACTTCTGCCTCCTACTGAGTATGACCTAAGGTGGGGACCTTGGCTGTTTTTTTCCCATGACGATAGCTTACATATTAGCATAGTGTCCTTGTGCTTCGGACAAATTTGTCCGTTCGTTCGATGCTGTGTTGACAACTCGGATGACACCAATCGGGGCTCGAATTATGCCCTCGAGGACCCCAAGTGTAGGCAAAGTTAATGGGGAAAAATTTGCCGGTACATGTTTCCTTGGTCTTGCATGCAATTCTTTCTTTTTGTCACCACTTTTAGTTTCATTTGTCTCTTACGCGTGATCTTTGCACGTTTGCAAATCTTCCCTTTTTCATTCATCATGTTGGGAACGCACCACTCTGCTATTTTTTCTCCAAGTCTGGTGTCTGATGATTTTCTTATTTCGAAGGCCTTCTGTGATATTATCTCCTCTGCCTGATGTCTGACTTGCAGATCATTGTGCTTGGAATAATCGATACCGCGTTTCTTGCTCGCCTTGTCCAACGCATTTGTCTGATTCACTGTGCCAAAGTGTTCTAGCTAACTTAGTTCTCAGACCGCAGGGTCTGTATCCAGGAGTGTGCAACTCGAGTGGTAGATTGTTGATCAGATTAACGACGATACCGCTTCCAGCTATGGTATTAACTCTTCAAGGCATCGCGGTGAACAGGGTGAGAAAAGTATGGAAATACTTCTTTAATACATTTTCGTTTCGGTATATTTTATAACTTCGAACAATACGGATGTATCCGATATTCAAATATGATATCTAAACGAGAATTCTGCCGGAGGCAGTTTTCTAGGAGTGATAATTTGAAAATTCATTATTTTTCCAAGAAAACATTCTTAATGTCACCAATTAATTTTTAGTGGTCCCACGAATATTCCTATATAAATAATGATAACAATACGCACTTTTATTGATTGTCAGTACATAGATAGAAATATCTTTAATTCCCATCGCTTAAGATTTCCCGCAGCAATAGTTTATGATACCTCCTCTTCCTCTTTTCATTCCTCCGATGTATGATATAAACCAAGCAGAATATAACAGTTTAAAGATAATCAAGAACAATGTGACTCTGCCCATACGCATTCATGCTGATGATATTTCCCACATATCGCATCATGGAAGCCTATTTCCGAATAAAGTGAGGTGCATCATTGCGGGACCAACAAATTGTGGGAAAAGATGTGGCCCGCTGAGGCTTCTGGAAAAAGAGAATGGCCTTCTGTTCGAGAAAATGTTCGTGTTTTTAAAATCACTTCAGCAACAAAATACCTGTGATTTTCACAAGTTCAGCATTTCCTACGAAAAACCAAAGTGCCTCCAGGAATACTCTAGCATGGGACGGCACGCGAACGTAGACTGCGTGTATCTCGGCCAGACTTATTTCCTGACACCAAACATATGATCCATGACAAATAAAAAATATGGGAACTGGTAATGGCATCATTATCTCGGATCTGTTGGCCGAGCAAATCATATTCTTTCGGAACTACCTGTTCGAGCTCGTGGTGAAGATGGAGTGTGTGAAGAAGGAGATCTTCTGCGATATGGTGGCCATGGACGAACATATTACGAGTGTTCAAAGGAAAATTATTGACAGACTTTATGTGGAATCTGCGCAATATGAAGAAGATCTGATAGACCTGGAAGGATTGATAACACATAATTCACTTCCTCTATTTCCCACGTCGCCTCTAAAACAGATATTCAAAATTACAGCAGGGACATAGTTAATGTCTGCAGAGAATGCCTGGGGAAGATCGAAAGTATTTTGGTGGAGACTAACGACTGAAAGTATATAAGGGTACAGTTGTAAAAAAAATAATATTCAGTAGTATGTCGGACATTGCCAGCGACTTACATCGGACGATTCAGTATGTTCGCTCGAAGTATTTGCTCGCCAAAAGAACCAACTTTACACACGAGCTTAATAATAAAGTAATTTGTATGCCCTAGCACTGAAAAGCGGTGTAGGTCAGAAGAAGATAGACAATGGTAAGAACACCAACTTTGTATTCTGGGACAACCCGACAGATCTGGTCGATAGGGTGCTAGTCGTCTGCTGGGTGTGGTAATGGGAGGACATCCACAAATGTAAGATTATTTAAAACAAATTCCTTAAACAATTTTTTTTATAATTTCTAAGTAATTAGTTAAAAGAAGTTTTAAAAAAATAATTTATAAATATTTGCATTTTTTTTTAGTTTTTATTGTTTTTTTTTAAATTTTTTGTGTTCAATATCATACGAGGCCACGGGGTCAAGGTCAACGTCATCAGCACCTAATAAGGCGGCTAAGATGGTTGACAGAACCAGGATGGTTGATGGTTAAGTCTGACTCCGATCCTGAATCTCTTGTAATGATTTGACATACCCTATGCTATAAAACACTGATGGTCACCACGGCGTAGTCCGTATGTCCTCTCTGGTTCTGCTCTTTGGCTCGAAGTCACGAGTCCACCTCTCCTGTTCTGGGAAAATTGGGACATTTGTATGGAAAAAGAGAAATATTTAGGAAAGTTTAGTAGATTTTAAGCGGGATAGGGAAATTTTCAAGGAAAACTAGAAAAAATGGTAATTCCAAGATGGCGGCCGGTCGGCGCCATGCGCCTGTGCCAGGTGCCGTTGAACCAGAATGTACCAAATCATTCTACTTTTGTCTGCGATATGAGAAAAATATTTTTGTTAGAAACACTTTGAATTTGACGATATATATCCGTACCACTGGTATCTTCAAATTGCTATCCTTACTTCTATGTATTTTCCGTACTTTTGTATTTACATTCCAAACATTTTGTGAGGTGTTTATTTTCTTTACATCCCCAATACTGGGTTATACGATGTACGTTTGTTGTATCTCGGTCTTTTATATGGACTTATGTGAAACTACTGGCCAGTTTAGTGGAGTGGAGAAGTTTGGCAGCCCTTGACAGTGAGTACTTGAGGAACGACTGAGAATATTCAGAATATACTTTTTCATGTCAATATTAGTAAAAATTTCGAATTTCAGTGAATTCCAATAAAATAAAAACGAAGAGTCAAAATAGATTGAAGCTGTGTTGATTATTTGGTATTTTTTTTGTGTTAAGTGACTCTTCATAATATGTGACTGCATTAGTAACACGCTAAACATAAATATGTCGAACGTAACTTTTTATCATTGAAGTAATCATAAGCCTACTTCATCCAATAAGTGCTTCTCTTTTGGAGATTTATTGATTTATTTTAAAGGACACCGCACATCGTGTTCTACTATGGACTAACAGCAGGAAACGTGTTTAAATTGACACTTAAATAATACCTTTAGTGACAATTATAAAAATGGTTGCTATTTTCCTCTGAAATTCGTTGAAAAAATCCGCCTAAAAACCGGGACAAATGCGTATAAAAGAGGACATGTCCGGAATAATCTGGACGTCTAGTCACTGTATGAGCCGGTGGTATTATATTTAGTTATTGGGAAAACGTTACGTGTCCTGGAAATATATTTTACACCCATTTAATTCGCTCGTTGGACAGTCAAATTACAATACCACGAAATCATGTCTAGAACCATTTTTCTAATTAATGTAAAGTGGTTTTAATATAATACTATATTAAAAATATTACCTTTTTTCTTTATTGAAACATTGAAATATTTTTTCTGAGAAATTTACACGATATTACTTACAATTTCTTTCTTTTTTATCTACGTCACGATCATACTTAGGTTAATTAATTAATCCGCGCGACAGAATGACTAAACTTACCAAAATAAGGAATATTTTGCATGCTAGATACTACTTTAGATAAGTATTCAAATGAACAATGCAACATAAAAAACTTGCAAGAATGTATGCATTGCTGCTGCGAAAAGCGCACAACAATGAATTGCTACTACCTCAGTAACATTAAAAATATAACAACGTGATCAGAAAAGTTTCCGCAGAAGTGTTTCTGTACACAGCCGCATGTGATTTGTATTTACGTTTTCCTTAATTCTGTTATTAAATCCTTAATATAATTTTGACGTTCCTTTCACGCTACACAATTGAATGCTATACGTAAGTATCGAACTGTAATCCCAGACTAAGGTACAATCATCAAATGAAGACAAGTAATGTAAATTATTTCAAGTGCCTTCTAAATTTTGCAGTAAATATATTTTTTAAAATGTGAATCCTTTCCAAAGAAAACTAACTGTCTACGCAGAAAGCACAGATGATAATTTTGTGTAAATGTGCTACGAAAGGATTTAAAAATCTCTTCTACTCCCCGACGGGAATCAAACACCAGTCTCCCGCGTGTCAGGCGGGGGATACTGGCCACTATACTACGAGGAAGATACAGCTTAAATAAGGAAATATATTGAGGTAATGTCATTACATGCAATACTGTTTACACAAATACATTAATGAAATCATACGTAGCGACTTGACATCAAGTCTGGCACAAAATAAGTGAGATTGCTTCTATAGAGAAGCATATCGCTTCTTCTTTGACGTCTTGATTGTGCTTGAACTTGCACAGATGTTTGACGGGAAAAATTTCGCCTCCTATTCAATACTAATTGATAGATTAATTAATTCTGGAAAATAATTCTCACGAGAATTGTTATGTAAGCATTTAATTTGTGCCTTCTGTAATGTAACAGGACATATTTTGATACATGATATTCAACAATATGTGTGGTTAGTCATATTTCATGATTGCGAGTCCTATATAATAAATTTTAAAAATGCCTAACAGGAAAAAATTTGAAGAGTCTCAGCCCTTGAGTGATTTCAATTGGAATCACGGTAGAAGCCTGTCTTGGCATCTATTAGAAAATATTTTTCGGAACACATATAAATACTTTCATGTGAAAGCAGCAAATACTAAATATTTATGAGATGTAAGTTATGCAGGTATTAGCAAAAATTATCAACATTTAAATTAAATAATTGGCATTTTACACAAAAATGTCATTGACATCTCTTTGTGACATGTGTAATAATTCAGCCACGACTGGTAATTTTCCTGGATACACAAAATTCACCATAACCAAATCTATTCAAAATAAAAATAAAAGTAATGCTGAAAATTTCAGGACAGTAGATTCCATATACGTTTTCTAAAATCCTTAAGAGAAAACGTATGTGTCTTAGACTTTTATAACAATTTGAAATTAATAATATACACTCCAATGATTAGTATGTATTAAAAACTGGATTTTCTAGAAAATATAGAGGATTTCATATAACATCGTCAATCTCAGAAGCATATTAAAGGAAAATTTTTGCTACTGGAAATTTTCACTATGTAACTCGTTCAGGTTTTTCATTCACACCGTATTGCTGTAACAATTGAAAAACGACAGGGCATTTAACACAGCCCTTAACTTAATCTCCTATAACGAGTTAAACAGATGTAAGAATGTATAGCTATTAATGATACAAGTATTAATAGTACATTCTACTCTGCCTGTGGTCAAATATGTTAATGGTGTTGTCCAAGCGTCAAACATTCGAACACACTTTTATTCTGCATTAATGAAAAAGAACGTAATCTAGACTGATGAAAAATCAATCCCGTTCACATATGAAAATTTTATTTATAATGAGCATTGAAAAAATAATTTTATCTATTTCTTGTAACAAATTATTTTATTGCTACACCCCGCGACATGTTACATCACCAAAGAAGTTCTTGTGACCTTGATGGCTAAGGTGTCACTCGCAAATAGAAGGGGACCGTCTGCTGATCATTTACGTACAGCATGTGGCATGGCGCTATGCGTAAGCACCTTGTAACCACGTGATATGCAACCTTCTTTTCCCAGCAGGTACGACCGCGATGGTGTAGTGCTCAGACTACTTAACTCCCAACTAGGCCGACCATGTTCGATTAATAGAGGCGTCGCTTCCGGTTTTCACTGGTCGCTGGGTTTACTCAGGGATCTCCTGTTTCCTCCCATACTCACCTCACTTCACCCTCATCGGCTCTCAAGACCTCGATATTAAGAGCCACCCAATCTGTCCACACCACATTTTCAGCAGGTCTCTTCGTTTTAATTATTCGTGTGCATAACCGCGAGACTTGAAACACAATTTGTTGTGAAGTTCTCAACTGATTCATTCCCCAGGTTAGCCAGCAAATAAGAGACACCCAGCTTAGTGCATTCTACACCCTTTACATCTGTGCCTTATGTGGGAACAACCTGTCGATTATAAAAGTGTAAGACTCTACAGCTTCAAGAAATATAGTCCATGTGGCTTTAGCCTCTTTCATATTCCCTACTTGAATTATAGACAGACTATATCCAACTAACACGAATATATACCATATTAAGACCCATATAACTATTGGGTCTTTCTTTCACCACATTGCTGCAACAAATTTGAGTGACATTCTTAATAGCTTATATTAATAATATAAGCTTATAAGCTGGCATGGAAGCAACCGCATTACATTATCTAGGATTCGGAGTATCAACTTGAGTCGTAATCACTTAATGTTTTGAATGAAAGGGTTTACTAACCTGAGACATTTAGAAGGACTGTCTTCTTAAAAAAACGCTTGTGAGTCATGTAGATATCGTAAGTTTACATGGCCTATCGTAGCAGTAATAGTCTGCACAATATGATGGGAATCATTTGTTTTATTCCTGAGACATGGCATAAAGCCACTGTTTTCTCAAGTGCTTCTATTGGGCCATATGCCACACTAACCTAAAATATATGACTGGATACTACTTTCAAAATATATAACTGACTCTGTAGATCATATAACTGATTTTGGCGGGAATCATTTAATTGCTTGCCGATGTAGGACACAATAGCGTTCTTTGTGTTAAAATAGCGGACATAAGCTTTTATGTATTAGTTCTCTTGATATTTGCATGGATACAGCCAGCATACAAAGTTATGTTGAAATTCAAAATATGGTTTCTTAGATATAACATTTTATTCAAAAATGTTGATATACCCGCTAGTATGAAACTAAGTGTCTATCCATCTTAAAATATACGAATTTACATGGTACTGTGGCTCCCCTAATTGAAGAGGCCATGCCCTCTAAGGGTTAAGCGTAGCAAGAAGGTTAAACACTCTTACAAAAAACTCTACCTTTATTCAATACAAATTTATACACTATGACGCCTAAATAGCGTCTTGTTTAAGGCCGCAATCTGCATAGAAAGAATAAACTCTGAATAGCAATATTGGGATGCAAGGGTAGCCTTCGCTATCCGTTCACCTCACGACATCTATCACGCCCAAACGGGAAATATATTTATCCTGCATTATGTCGTTAGAAACGTGAAGGCTCTCGATGGCTGTGTCGTCTGACGTTGATCTAGGACCACAAGGTACGGTGGTCCTCCTGGCAGCAATGTTCCGGGCAGGGCCTCCTGCAGAGCTGGAAACAAGATGGCCGCTAATTGCCATCACTCGCAGCTTATACACAAGGGCTCGACCTTGTTTGAATACCATTCCCCTGGCTGTTGACATAACTAGGCGGGCTGGTTACCGAGACCACGTTGACTGTTGACTCAAGCGTAATCACTTGGCCTGGCAACCCGTTGCTGGTGTCGATCACAGCATGCCCCCCCCCCCCCCCTTCAACGGAAACTCATGCGTCCTCGCATGAGAAGACCTGCGATCGGACGATGTGGGGGAAGGCATCAGTAAGGCCGGGTTATCGTCGCATCGTCGTGGTGTGAGGACACCAATGTGCCGCCGGAACTTAACATGACTGGCCGTTGGAGAGCCTTTCTTTTACACACTTATTTGGTTTATTTCCCTAGAATGCTGTCAGTGTCGTGAGACTTGGGATAACGTTATATTTAGGCTTAGAAAACAAATTGTATTGCAGGACGAAGTTGCGTTTTTGTAGTGAGTAATAGAATTCATAATATGTGTAACAAATACAAAAGTATTCTTTAAGTATACATGATACAAGTGTAATTATAAAACTTAATGTATGTCCTTTTTAGATTGGATTATTTTACAATACTACGATATATAGATTTGAAAAATTACATTATCTTTTTTTGAACTATACATTGTAAATGCGTAAGTAGAAGGAATAATTAAAATTTTTGGATGAAAATATATGTGAGTAATGATTTACAAGACTAAAATATATAGCTAGACATTTTACCATTCTTGTGTGGCATTGTCCACTTAGTCATAAAAATTGATATACATTTTGGCATGTATAAGGTATTTAAGAATACATTTTACTTTATAATATTTTACCTTATGGTGAGGTGCTGCTCCTATGAGGAATCGTTTATATAAGGTACAAGATTCAAATATACATGTTAACAATGATATTTTATGTACAAGTTGTTAATTGTCGTGCCGGCACGTTATCTACTAATCTACTAAGTCAATTGTTGTTTCCTGTTTGCCGTGGAAGGAGAGAGGAATGCGTTCAGCACCAATAGAGGACCCCCAAAATGTAAAAGAAAATTAATTCCGGCGCCACAACAGGGGTATGGGATTTTTTTTATTTCCGGTGCACCGAATTTTGGTCAACATTTCGCAATGGTGCCACTATTATGAGAAAAGTGAACTACTGTAAATGTACGTGCCGCGTCACTACTATCTTAAAAAATTCATAATTTACAGTGAGAAAAATATCTTCTATTCTATGACTTAAATTCAGCACATTAAGTGTTAATTGTAGTTTTATAAATCTAATGTCGAAATATTATGTGAAAAGGTATGCAATGGCAAATGATTGTGCTGAAGATGTTAGTCAACATCTGCTCTTGGATTCTTGCTAAGTCTACCTCATCTTGTTGTTTATTTACCTGATTACACATAGAGTTAATTGTATGTGACATGGAATTAATCTTAACTTCTACTTGTGTTTTAATCTCTGATATTCTATGGATAGTGACGTTCGATTTCTCATTTGAGGACATGACATTATTTTGCAATTCATTCAGTTGTACTGCTAGCATTTTATCATTCGACAGAAGGAATTTAAGGTGGCCGGATGTGAGGATGTAGCAACACCAGTTGGCGACATCCCCAAGGAAGGACATTCCACCTTTAATGCGATTGGATACAGACAACTCATTAAGAAATTCATCTAAAATGTTGGTTGTTGTTTCACTGAAAAACTTATGAAATTCCTCTGCATTCGCGCAGACGGTGCTGTTCTTCGCGGCGCAGGCGTGCTGTGGTACCATATCACAATGTTGGCTGGCGTGCTGAGCTGTTCGAGAGGAATACTGTACATTAATGGCAACGTCTCATCGTAGTAGAGATGCGGCATCACCTCCTGAAAGTAGACGTCAGCATGCGTCCGATACAGATGCACACTTGTAACACTTATGGGTAACATCAGCACAAGGACCACCGTGCCGGCCGTTGAGTGTCCCATTCTGGACTTGTAACAGCCCCTGTAACTAATGGTTAAAGATTAGCGTCGGACATTGGAGATTTTTATATTTCTCGTGTTAACTTATTTTGGCGACGTTTATGGACTTCAATGGCAATGTCAGACAGTCCCAGTATATCGTGAATATGGTAAGGACCGTGGTACTTAAATGTAAGGGCCTTTTGTCTAGCGTGGTTCTTAACCCAAATGAATTGTATTTTAATGTCGTTTTTTCTAAACTTCACGTGAAAGAGTTCCTTTTGCTTTTGACGTGATGTTATCAAATTAATTAGAACCTGTTCACACACTAGCTTCAATTTCTCCCACCAATCATTACAACGTTCTGAATATTCATGCGTTATTATGGTTGACGGTTCGACTGCCTTAACTCCGTGTAAAAGAAAAAAGGTGTTTGTATCTAGTGCTTCTGTTAACTGTCGAGTTGTAACTAAATATTATATACAGGACGTGCTTGTCCTAGTGTGTGGGATATTAATTTGCACAAGACGTAAGCTGCTGTGAAATGACTTCATTTATTTGCTCCGTCAGCCAGTTGCTGTTACCAGTTTCTTTATTCGAAGTTTCTTCAATTATTCCGCCATCATCTCTTTGTTAAAATATGTGCCTCTATCTGTCAGAGAAGATTTGTGGCATCCGAATTGGAGAATGACATAATTTACAAAATTGGCACATGTTAGGCCGTCAATTGACTTGACCGGTTGGGCGATGGCATAGCGAGTGAAAAACTCTTTCATGATTAATATATACTTATTGCACTTGGCTGATGTCTGCAAAGGCCGTTAGGCAACGAGACCCCAAGAATGTAATAGAGAGGGTGGGGGGATTGGCGTCATCTGACAGATGGGTTTCTGGTTGGGGGGGTTTAATTTTCTGGCAGACAGGGCAATTCTTTGGCGTCTCTATTAATTGTATCCTAGTAACATGCATTCTTTTATAACGTTTTAAATTGCCCGAAGTGGCCTCCACCAAGAAGTGTGTTGTGGTGGGCAGTTATTATCTCCCGTACATAATACTGGGGAACAAGAGTCGATTTTTTCTCGCCCTCTGGCATACATAACTTCATGTAGATGTCGCACTTGTCAACAATGTTGTATCGTCTCGATGGACAGCGGCATTTGGGGGTTGCTTTGTTGGGTTCCGACCGTAGTTTTTCCTTATGGACAGTATAAAACTTATAACCCAAGTTCCACCGAGATTTGAACTCGGATCGCTGGATTCAGAGTCCACAGTGCTAACCCTTACACAATGAAACCAGACAACAATAATTGTTCATGTATAGAGCTTATTGTTTTATTATGTGTGGAGTGATACACTTGTCCCTATCATATCTTCCGTGTAAGATGTTTATCATTAGTAAACACCAGCTGGAAATCGTTATATCTCCACCTGTACCACAAGGATTCTTTAATAGACATTTGAAATTATTGTGTAGCTGTCACATTTATACCAACATTGTGGATACAGGCGCATTTTTTCTTTGGTGAATAATTAAAAATAGTTTGCTACATATTTAAGAGAAGTACTACATCTTTAATATATAAATGTGCTAATAATAATTTCCCTAATTTCTTTATGGAATTATACAAACATTTATTCTCATTATTTCCAAAAAAAATTCACTGGAAAACTTAGCAAGTCATGATATTTCCACATTCTTCTCGTGTAATCTTTGAATTTCGGCATTAATTTTGCTTACTCAATAGTGTACCAATACGAAATATTTCCTCTATATCATTCTGTGCACTTAAAGTGAGGAATTGTTGTTATTACAACAGAAAAAAATTTAACATTAATTTAATATTCAATTATTAAAATTATTTTCTTGCAAAAATTAATAAAGTATCAGTTATAAGCATTTTCTTCCATTTCAATTGCTTGCAATAAGGATAACGTAATATTTATGTTTAGCAGTAAGTATTCATATGAAATTATCTTGCCAAATTATAACCTTGTTAATAAATAAAATGCATAATTAAAAAAAATAACGGAAAATTAATTGCGGGCTATTTCACACATTAATTTAAGTTCATTAATAGTTATTATGAGAATGAAACACTTTTGCATTTATGTTATTGTACTGGGCCTTTTGTAATATTAATCTATGTTAGGAAAACTTTTGTCATTAAATATCCAATTGCTAATTTATTTTCACTACGAAATGTATTAATATACATAAGTATCAGAACATTACTCTATAATTTTTTTTTTTGCGTTAGGGATAAATTTTTTATTCTAATTATCACTTTACTATGCACTAAGTATTTTAGCAACTTAGATTTCACAGAAGATCCTTATTGTTTATTCTAACATAGTGGAATCCATCAGCACAGCAACTCTGGACAGTGATTATATCCATGAATTGAGCTGAACCATTTATAAAGAAAAGTGTTACTCTCCAGCGGGGAATCGAACTACGGCTTTCCGCGTGACAAGCGTGGATACTAACCACTATACTACCGAGCACGTGATCGTTTTAGCAACAGAAATCTATCGAAATAAATGTCAGTACATGCCATAGTGTTTCCGGCAACAGATTAGATCTGTAATAATATATCATGCACAGCGACGTGACACCCAGTCAAGATATAAAACAAGTGCGATTGCTTCTGTACACAAGTATATTACTACTTCCACAACCTATATTTTTTTTTGCTTTAACAATTACAGACATTTGACGGGATAAATTTCGGCTGCATTTCAGTACGACTTGATTGAATTATTACATCTGGAGAAGAATTATTACGATAATATTAAATAAGAATGTAATTTATGCCTTCTGTAATGTAACAACACATATTATGATAAATATTATGCAACAAATTGTTTGGTTAATCATATTTCATGATTTCGTGTCCTATAATACATATTTAGAATACGCCTAATGAGCAACAATTTAAAGAATCGCAGACCTTGAGTGATGTGAATGGGAACCATGGTATACGCCTGCCTTGGCATCTGTTTGCAAATACTTGTCCTAACACATATCCATACTTTCATGTGAAACCTGCAAATTCTAAATAATGACGTCATGTAAGATATTCAGTTATTAGCAAACTATATTAATAAAATAAATGGCGTTTTGCTCAAAAATTGTAATTGACATCACGTCTGTCATTTTTTTAATGAATGTTGTAATAATTTATCAACGACTGGTAATTTTCCTGGCCAAACAAAATTCAATATAACTAAATATATACTAAAGAAATAAAAGTAATAGTGATAATTTCAAAACAATAGAGGAAAGTAGACAAATAAGGATTACCAAATCCATTTTGTTCAATAACTTTTTTGTATTCCAGTTGCAATGATGTAATATAAAAGAAATAATTGAAGTACTCTGTGCTTATTTATTATAGTGCACAACAAACTGCTATCATGGAAAAAAAATTAATAAATTGTCTTATTGTTGCACAAAACATCAGTTCACAAGAAGGGTGATAAATATGGAATAGTGAATATAGTACGATATAATGTGCGGTCTATCATGTTACACTATCGACAAAACACTGTATATATTTACTACTGTACACATTGATTTTAAATTGCTATATTTCCAAGCTAGACATATATTTTATTTACAATAGTCACAAACATATTCTCCACTTTCATAGCCGGCGCACTCGGAATGGCACTAAAACTGGCAAATGGTACACTGCATCTACGTTTCACCTTGTGTATCCTCTGAATACTTTGTTTCTCAGAAGATACACACTCCATCATCATTATCCAGAGTTATTCCATTGTGTTCCACTTTAATTTCACTGGGATCATCGTGAACAGATAATTCTTCAGCAGAAGAAGTAGATTCATTTCGCACGCTGACCTGACTTTTAGTGCCAAGAGATTTGACTCCCCTACCACTGTTAACTGTAAACATTCTTTGATGCAGTCCTCTTCTCACGCCTTTCTTCTTTTGTGACAACAGACCCTTGGCTGACCCGTTCCGTATTAGTTCTTTGTACGGTGATGAAGTGATAATCGCGCATGCCCCAGGCTTTCTACCATGCCTGGAAGTCAACGATGTTTGTTGTTTTCTAGACCTGATATCAGGGATGGAAGAAATTTGAGTTGGGACAATGATCCTGAATGTAGATGAAACTGGATTCCCTAGTTTCCTATGAGAGTTCCTCTCAGCGCTCATATGTTGATTGTTAGATGTACCTGGAATTGATTGAACTGGCATAGAAACATCTGTTAAAGTGTCTTGTTGGCTAGTTTCGTTACTGCAAAAGTAGTATGACAAAGTGGGTACACATTCCTTCACATTAGGTCTACTAGATGGTAGATCATTTCCTATAGCACACCGTTGAACTACTGTGCTATCAGTTTGACTTTCCTCTGGAATGGCAATAACATGCTCATTTCATTCAACACTAACAAGAAAATCATGGTCACTGAAGATATTACTGTCAACAAGATAAAGCCCAGTTACCTTAAAACCATTCACTGCGATTGCTCCAGATTGAGCCTTCAAATATGGGCGCCCAAACCAGGTACGCACTTCTTCACTATAGTAGATCTTTAGAGCAACCATTAATGTCTTGTCTAGTGGTTACATCTTATGGATGATGTGAGGAGACGAAGATATGATCGTAACATTGTTTTCTCTTTTGCCTGATTTATGACCTCTATATTCCTGGTGTGGGAATTGTGCGCATCTAGTATTAAAAGAACTGGAGACTCTTTGGTGGGTTTTACATCCTGAAGAAAGTGCCTAAACCATAATTTTACCAAGTATGTCTGTATCCATCCAGATGGATGGCATGCTGAGATGGACCCGGAAGGTGCACCTTTTATGAGAAGTGGACTCATCAGTTTGTGTGGGAATATAATGAGAGGTGGAAGAAATAATCCTCCAGCACTCACACACAAAACTGCAGTTATCAAGGACCTCCTCTCTGTCAAAAAAAATCGCGCCAACTTGACGTTTTTCTTTCGGAGAAATAACATGCTGAACCTTGCTCTGAACAGCAGACAACCCTGTTTCATTGGTATTGCATGTTCTATTTGGGGGATACTTCTTCCACTAAAAATAAATGTAATATAAATTGTCACGTTAGGGCGTTCCATCAAGTCATATGTGCACTTAGGCCACACAAGGGATCGTTGTCCCTCCCTGGAAGGTGATATTACATCGGGTCGTCGACCAAGACGTAAAAACCACTAAAATTAAAATGTAAATTGACACCTTGGAGTGTGCAATAAAGTCGTGCACTTAGGCCACACAAGGGCTCATTGTGCACCCCTGAAAGGTGATATAATATCAAGCCACAATGGTGAATCACCGATAAGATAAATGCTAACATATCGCCGTATATAGCTACGTATTTAGTAATCGATCACAAAAGGCTAAAGATGAATTTGTTATTCAGATGATAACATCAAAATCATGATACAAATATGGAATAGTATTCCATATTTGTAACACCAGTGATATTCCATATTACTGCCCTCACCATCTTGCACTACTTCGCTAGGAAACAGTTTAAAAATGTTCGTAAAAAAAGATGTGTTACATGTTACAGGCAGCTGCAAACGTGTACTTTATATGGAACACAAGTACTTTGCAAAGTTATGGGAGGTTCAACAAATATAAATCTTTTCAATCTTATTTGTTGACTTCTCAAGATTTCGAATTTCACAAATAACATGCGTTTACTGCTGCAACACACTTACAATGGCAATAGAACCTCAAAAGGCACAATACCGATAAGTTGTGCCGGTTTCCGCTAGATCGCACCGCTTGTGTTGGTTGATACAGCGGTATTCGGTATTAGTACCCTGTTCCATATTTGTCTACTTTCCTCTAGCTTTAATTAACGTCTAGAAATCTTAAGAGAAAACTACATGTGTTAAACATATATACTTCTTTGAGATAAATAATTTACCTACACTCCCATTATCAGTATGGAATAAAATCTGGGTTATCCACAAAATATAGAGTACTACATTTAAAATCGTCAATCTTCGAAGCGTTTGAAAGTAAAATTTTTGCTACTGGAATTTTTCATAGTGTAAGTCATTTGGATTATTTATTCATACCGTATTGCTGTAAAAATTGAAACACTCGGGACAGGTAACATAGCTATTAATTAATATCCTACTACCTGTTAGACATATAAAACGAACTAACTATTACTGATACAAATTATAATAGTACAATCGCCTCTGCCTGTGTTCAAATATGTTTATGCTGTTCCCAAAGGTGAAACCTTCGAACATATATTAATGATTTAACACACAATCTAGATTCTAATGCAAAATCAATGCCGTCCGCATATGAAAATAGCTTGTTTATAATTAAGAATAGAAATATTATTTTTTTCAATTTCTTATCGTAAACTAGCTATTCGGCCCGCCTTCACCGGTGTATAATTTAGTTTTTTTTTTTTTTTTTCTGCCTGTCATGACGTACAGGGCCGCATGCTCGTCTCACACAACTTATCCCCTTGCACCATTCTTACCTTTGAAACGCTACACACCGCGCCACCACACGCGACCACGTATATGTCCATGCGTGGGTGTCTCGATTTTAGAAATTACTTTTTTACAAAAATTTACGTAACATTTAAATTATTGGCGACAATTATTTGATGTAAAAGACAATATTTAACATACCGCGTATGGGTGAATTAAGTCGAACTCTATTGTGGATACTGTGAAAAAAAAACTAAAATATTACAGTTAATGGTATTTTACAACAAATGCAATAGCTCTTGTAAAATAGCCTACTTTAGTATGACCCCCGTGATATTACTTACATGCCATATTGACAGCAATTTGTTAAAAAAAAAAAAAAAAAAAAAAAAAAAAAAGGAATATATATCTACTGAAGTACAAAGCATCTACACCAGATATTTGCAGGAAGTAATTACGATGATCAACATGACGACTGACGGAAAGTTTCATACTTTTGTTATACTGTATGCATTTACCAGTTGATACCATATATTTCCTATCATGAAAAATATATCTGTCAATTAATATAACTCTTCTGTATCATTATTTATGTGAAACCTGTCTCTGTCACCGAAGTAGTTACATAAATCATGTATGTTTGAACTGAAAAAATCTTTCGTAGTAAACAAGACAATTAAAAAAAAAAAAAAACATTGTATCTACAGATAATTGGCAGCATCACAAACCATATTTTATTTCAAATATTTCATACATTTCCAACTGAAATATAAAACAATAATGATATTTTCTCAGGACTAGTCATTACTTCCGACCCTAGTTTTTCCTCATGGATATCATAAAACTTACAAAATACCAAGTTTCCACCGAGATTTGAACGCGGATCGGTTAATTCAGAGTTCAGAGCGCTAATCATTACAACATGGAACAACCCAACCAAAACCGTTTCAGTTTAGTGCTGATTACTTTTTTATCTGTGAAGTGACACAATTGCGCTTATCTTCAGTGTAAGATGTTTATCGTTAGTAAACACAAGCTATAAATCG